TAGCTTTTCAACTTGCAGATAGATCATTTTACATAATTTTTTGAGATCCGATCTTGACAAATTTGCATTCAGTCTCTGTTGAAAGCAATGGGATTTGGCATGATTAAGATTTCCATTATTTTCAGTGGGAAGTTAAGGTTATGCTTAAAAAATATAAAATAATTGTATGTTAAAAATGTCTCTGATTTGCAACTAAATGTTTATGTCCATCCCTTAATTTTTGTAGCAAATTGTACATTTTTGTTTTGATAAAAGCAAAGTGAATATTCATTGAGAATCAATCTGTTTCTTCAGAATAATTCTTCTCTCACCATCCTCTAAAGCTTTACTCCTTAACTAATTTTTCTTAATAATTTATCTATTTAGAACAATATAAATGAAGCAGAAAAAAAGACAACAGAGCAAAATCCATACAGCTATATAATGAATGGTCTCTAAAATGGTCTTATTACCACAGTAAAAAGCTAGTGCGATGACTTTAAAATACAACTATTAACTATTTCCAAAATATATACCTATACTTGCTAAAATGATATATTTTAGAAGGTACCTATGTTAACATATAGCTGCTTCCATTAGCAGAAGAACAGATTCCAATATGTGGGAATAATCACAAATCCAGCAAGGTTTTTATATTTGCTTGGAGGTCTGTGAGAAACCCTTTGCTAATGTTAGAATGAGACTTAACTGAACAACTAATGTAGTTTTGTCTTCTTGTAGTTCTTGAAATCATGTCATAGAATTCAATGTTTCAGAGGTATTCGTATCATTTTAGCCATTTTTCACATAAAGCTTGCCAGATTTAAAAATGCTGAGTGTTTAAACATTTCATGGAAAAGTCTTTTTATAATGCTACTATCGAGCATTGTGCATTAGGCTTGTCAAATTTCTTGTTTCTGATCAGATTGAATTTCACAATGCTTTAAGAGTATAATGGCTTCATTATATTAACATAATAGATATACCTTTATAGCATATGCTTGGCTTTTAAATTTATTTCCCCTCTTTTTTGTAGTATTTAACTCAGCTATCAAATCTGGTATAGTATCTTTATCAGGATCCATGTGAAAATAATTCAAGTTGAGTTATATTGTAGTATTGGAAACACCTGCAGTCTTTCTCACTGTTTCCATTGCATCCCTTAAAATACTTTGTTCTTTAAAATTAGAATTAAATCCTGAATAAAACTAAATGCTGAATTAATATATCCTGAACATTAGAGGACGTAGTTTCCGATGGCTAAATTGAAGTATACATACATTCAAAGGCACACACTGATAAAATATGTTCTCTCCATGTTTCTTTATTTTCAGCTGTAAAAAAAGTTTTTAAATATTTGTTAAGTTGTTAAATATAGATGATGCATGGTAGGACAAACAAGTTTTACATTTAGTACTGAATTTCAATTAGTTTTGGAAGTTTACTTCAAGGATTTTCTGACAATTGAAAAGTGACTCAAGACAGCAAAACATGTAATAATGCTGCAATCCCACCTTTAGTTACTTGAATAAAAGCAAAGAATAAGCTGATACAATGTTGCTCCTTTGAATAATTGTAAAACAAAATATAGTTCTTAGGACCATATCTTCTGGTATTGGTAAAAGTGTGCTTGGTCTCCCAGTTCAAAACAGAATTCTGTGCTGCTTGCTAGAATGAAGTTGCTTGTTTCCTGCTTTAATCTCTGCGAGTACTAAGTAGATTTCCTGATCCCAGTTTGAATCAGCTACTTATTGCAGGTTAAGAAATATTATTAGCTTGAGCTGCTTTTGCAGTTGCAGAAGGAGGAAATCTTTTGACTGAAAGGAAGTTATCCTGCAATCAATTTCCACTATACAGATTTTTCATGTAATTTTAACATTGATGTTGGAAGTATCTTAATGCATGTAATAGCGAGAATGTGAACACATGAAATACTTTCTATATCCCTTATACAAAGAGTATAATCCTGAGACTCCAGTACGATATTTACCTCTAAAAGTATTTGAATGATTCTTTCCAAAATTTACACAAATTATAGGGTTAAATATGTGAGATGAAAATCATCTTACCAGCAAAATTTTAATTTTAATTAAATCTAAATGTAAATCAATTTACTTTTTAATTTCAATCACTTTTTGGACTACTGTCCTTGGAATCTGCTCAATAGCTCAAAGTCGCCACAGTCTGGAAAAAGTTACCAATCTCTACAAACTCAAGTTATTGCTCATACAGTTATAAAGAGCCAAAGAATTAGTAAAATTCTCCTCACCTCTACCAGTACATTTTACTTCATAGGCACTTGTACAATGGCAATGTAGTGTAAGGCAGTGGCCCCCAACCTTTTGAGTACCAGGAACCGGTTCCATGGANCAACTGCCTCGACTAGTCATTGCAACTTTCTTGGAAGATTTTCAGCAGTGGTTTGCAATTGCTTTCCTAGATCTGAGATAGAATGATTGACCTGATATCTTACAGCTGGCCTTTTGCCTAAGGTGGGACTCGAACTCCCAGTATTCCAGTTTCATTACACTAGTAAAGCAATTTGAATTAAAGTGTAAATAGCCCAGTTGGAAACATATTTGAAATGGCTTTATTGACTCCCCCAGAAGGGAGCAGCATATGGACAGTCTTGAATGGTTTAGACAGCTAAACCAGACTGGCCTTGGTTAAAATTCACAGGGGAACCACTTAGGAATTCCATATTTGTGAACTTAATTGGGAAACTGAAAAAAAGATTCTGTAAGAAGGTAATTTCCATAACATTGCCAAGGAAACTGGACAGATACTTCCATGAAAGTCATCATGAACTGATCTCAGCTTAGAGGAGGCTTTACTTTTCTTTGACTTTAATGAAATTTATCTTTAAATATGGTTTATGATCTGCAATTTAAAAGTAAATACCTCCTTAGCGGAAATATAGTAATTTGTGGTTTGTTAGCTTCATTAACTACAATAGCTATGTAGAATATATTTTGCAAGTTCATTTTACCTATATAACAAAGAATTGAGGTGCCAATGAATTAATTAGAATATACATATTTTGTTGATTTCATATGTATAATTATTCTGGATTCCTGCTTTAGAGCAGATATAGATTCCAGTGATGAGAGTGATGCTGAAGAGGATATTGATCAACCATCTGTTCATAAGACCAAACATGATCTCATGATGAAAGGTGAAGGAAATCGTAAAGGAAGCTTTTTCAAACAAGCCAAAAAATCTTATCCTATGTTTCCTGCTCCAGAAGAGAGAATTAAATGGGACGAATATGGAGAGATTATCAAGTAAGTGGGAGATGTGGGAATGCCTATTATTCTAATATTCTTACATTTTAGTAGATACTGACTTACTGTCTTCATTTAAAATGCACATTTTCCAAATACATTTTTATCTCAAATAAAATGAATAGTTCTCTGAAAAAAACACATGCTATATTTAAATGTATGTATCGAACCTTGATAATTCACCAAATAATGAACACCTTTGATAGAACACATTATTTGGCTCTTTTACAATTCTTTATGCTGCCAGAGGACAGGAAAGCTATCTAAAGCAATTTTGGAGGAAAGGAAGCAAGCAGCTTTGAGGGGAAATGACATTTTGCAGGTAGAATTCTAGATGTATTGCAATCCCCACATTTGGATCAATACCTTTTCAGTGATTTATGCTAGTAACATATTATTAATCTATGCTATATATAGCAAATGAAGAGTATATATTATACTTTAATTTCCAAAAGTGCCACAGGTTTTCTTGACAATCTTCCTGAATATAAAATTAATAATGTTCCTGTATTTAGACCTGAGGATTTCCTCGTTCCAGAACTTCAGGCAACAGAAGAAGAAAAAAACAAATTAGAATCTGGCCTTACAAATGGAGACGAGCCTATGGATCAAGATTTATCAGATGTTCCTACTAAATGCATTTCAGCAATGGAATCAATGGAAATAAAGTGAGTGCGTGTAGATTTGTTGTAGGTGGTATTAGCAAAAAGTGTAATGTGTATTAATCTATTGCAATCTCTGTTACCTTATTTGAGCCTGCCTCATATCTCTTGTGGGTATATCAAAATGATCCTGAGTTTTTAATATTGTGAAAATGTTCACTCTGCATTTACTGTTCATTTTTCTATAAAATAACTAGCTTATCCTGAGGTTATGATCACACTAGAGACTGGAAAATTAATTGTTAAGTGATGCAGTTGTTAAATGAGACATTACATAATCACAATTTGTGAAGAAAAAAGTTGTTCAGCAAATGAAAAATAGTTTTTTCTTCTAACTAAATACTGTGAGATGAACTGTATGATATTATATAAAATAAAATTCTAGCTGACAATGTATAGGATACAAAGCAGGACACAAAACATTAGAAGTAAGCTTCTTGGGGGAGAATATTGGAAAATAAACACACTAATATGTACATTGATCAAATAAATTGCAATGAGTATTACATTAAAGTGATTTGATAGTAGAGGAGAAATTCATTTATTTAATTTGATTTATAAGTTTGTTTAATTGCAAGTAAATTAATGCTGAGTACAGTAAATTTAAAATCACAGGAACAATCCCAGTGGATAAAAGTAACTACCAAAAATGAGGGTTGTAAAAGGCGATCTGCATTGTTAAATTCAGAGATAAAAGGGGGGTTTTAAACTTTTGCAACCCCGTTTTTTCCTTCAGCTAAGATAAAGATACAGTGGAACATGACATTAAACTTTTAAAAGAGTAGATGAGAATGGGCCATATTGAATGCAGAGAAAAAGAGTTTACAATATGTTAAAAATATCTGTGCCCCCAAATACAAATGAATAAATTTGTCAATGTTATAAAAAGTATGCTGGGTTATAGTAAGAACACAAAAACAATATTTTTGTGTCCATAATCAAGGAGAATGATGTACAGATGATGCTTAATAAAAGTATATTGCAAAACTTTCAAAGAAGAAATTATAGTAATGAGACACTTGAAATCTGTTGACATCAGTTGGGAGACAAACAACTGAGAATAATCTTTCTACAGAATTACTATTTTGTTTGGCTGATAATTTTCTCCTGTAGTGTGTATAAAAATGTACAAGAAAATATGTGTCTGCTTTAATACTAACCAATATTAACATGAGAACATTGCAGACACATGATCACATCATGAGTGCAAGTAACAGAATTCTATGGCTATGGGTTGGGTAAAAACAAAACAAAAATTGCAGAAGGTGGCAATGATAAGCTTCTTCTGGGCTGTTGCCAAGGAAACTTAATGGATGCATCTATGTATGCAGTTATGAGGAATCCCATTCCCTTTTATGACATATCCACCTTGAACTCTTCTGTGTGAGAGTTAATGAGTATGCACAGTATTTAAATTGCTGATCTTTATAACTAAATAATTGATAAAAATATTGAATACAGGAGAGTTCAATTTTTTACGCAATAAAAACTCTTATTTTCTGTTTCCACATTGTTTCTAAGATAGTGTTGATCTATAAAAAGAGTTGACCTTTTATTTCTTGATGACTAATTTTCACAGGCCTAAGTATATTTTTTAAAAATATGTAGATCACTTCCATCACTTCTTCTTGATTGCAACCCTCAAATTTCTAATTATTTAATGATACAAGTTTTCACTTCACAAAAAACATTGTTA